TCTGCGAAGCAAGGACAAGGTGGTTATTAGCAGCACGAGGTAGACAGTACACGATCAAGGGTGATGATACAACACGAGTTACACTATACACGTAACCGTTACTCACCGAATCCATTCCTCCAGTGAATCAATCATTCTATTAACCCGCTCAACCAAGACGCTATTCACCATAGGACAGCCATGGACCAACTCTTTACGATGCGAGTCCGAGGAGAGATGACCTGAATGACATCGTCCTATAAATATAGTAAAAAGTGATGAACATGACGAGGTAGAGCTGAGCTGTGAGTAATGACAATTAAACTGAGCCGGGCTCAAAAAGATTCACACCACTCATCTTGGCCTATGATACTATGATTACCATCCTTGACAATGAGATCCAGGAATCGTAGAACACCGGCTCTCAGTTCGGAATCGCTTCTTCCTCCAGTTGAAAGCGTTACTGTTTTAGCGTTATCGCCAGTTGGACGAGCCCCCAAGAGCAACTGCCCAACTCTTCCCATAGCAGGGCTGCATAACCATGATCTACCTTGTGCGAAATCACCTGGTTCATGGGATGCCTTCACAGAGTCCTTCAGTACATTACCTCCGATGATCTTAGCAAATCCTAGCTCGATCATCGCTGATGCCGCCCGCCTCGTGTTCGGGTCTATCTCTGGAAGGCTATGGAAGCGAGAGGGATCCAAAACTTGCCTGAAGATCAACTAGTAGATCCCGCAGGAACCAAATCAAGGAGAGAATGATCAAAGTAGTGTATAAATTTTTCAGGTTCAAAGAGAACGATTGAACTAACCATTCCCCCTAGTAACCTTATAAATACTACGGTTCAAGTATTACCCTCGAACCATCGCAGCCATGCACTCTACCGCCGCTGTCTCAAACTCGTCTGTGAAGCAGGGAGCCTTATTTTGTAAAGTATCAGCTAGCTGTTCACGAGCCTCGTCAGATGTCACAAGTTCCAGCACAGCACTGAAACAACCATGCCTTATATTCGCTCCGCGCAGGACTCTTACCGTGTAAAGTTTGGTGCGAACATTTCTTTGAGAATCTTCGCTGACTGCTTCCGATGAGCTTCCTTTTCGTCAATTGAAGCCTCGTTATCCAGAGCCTATAGGGCATTTGAGCACACTAAAATGATAGAGAGGCTCATTGTACTTTCAACGAGTTCAAGGAGTTCTGGTGCACTCTCCAGAAAGTCTTCAGAAACGTTGAAGTGGGAGCGACCATATAATTGGGGGGAACACCTCTTACAAATACTCAGAATCGCCTCAATCACTAATACTACGCCAAACAAGAAGAAATCGTAGCAGTGAGGAAACGTATGGAGGCAGTGATATCACTGCGATTGTAGTGCAGAAGACTACTTTGAACGAAGGAGTTACACTTGTCCGGGTGGAGCGACGGCCCTTACGACTAATCTCCTCAATCATCTCTGGACTCATCTTCATCACCTTAGACATGGCCTTCTTGTCATATCTTCGGAGCTTGCTTGTGTTCTTTATCACCTAGAATATAACCAATAAGGGAATTCTCATTACTCATGTATTCCAGAACATACCTGGTATTGACCGCTCCTGATCTCGTTCTCCTTCTTCCTTTCCGCCTTCTCCACTCGTTTCTTATTGGCAATAGCTCTCTTCTCCTTCGCGATGACTTTCAATTCTACTTCACGACCTTTAACCAGGGATAGATCGCGCTCGCGAATTTTCCGGGCATCAAACTTGCTCACGCCGGGTTTAGCAG